TTGATCTAATGTCCACATATGAGGGAGAACATACGATTTTTGGTCTTTTGAGCCAGGCTAACCTCACTCAGAATGATGTTCTCCAATTCCATCCATTTACCAGCGAATGATAACATTTCGTTCTTCTTCATGGCTGCATAAAATTCCATTGTGTATAGATACCACATTTTCTTAATCCATTCGTCAGTGCTGGGGCATCTTGGCTGTTTCCATAACTTGGCTATTGTGAATAGTGCCGCAATAAACATGGATGTGCAGGTGCCTCTGGAGTAACAGTCTTTTGGGTATATCCCCAAGAGTGGTATTGCTGGATCAAATGGTAGATCGATGTCCAGCTTTTTAAGTAGCCTCCAATTTTTTTCCAGAGTGGTTGTACTAGTCTACATTCCCACCAACAGTGTAAGAGGGTTCCTTTTTCCCCTCTCGCCAACACCTGTTGTTGGTGGTGCTGATGATGGCTATTCTAACAGGGGTGAGGTGGAATCTTAGCGTGGTTTTAATTTGCATTTCCTTTATTGCTAGAGATGGTGAGCATTTTTTCATGTGTTTTCTGGCCATTTGAATTTCTTCTTTTGAGAAAGTTCTGTTTAGTTCATGTGCCCATTTCTTTATTGGTTCATTAGTTTTGGGAGAATTTAGTTTTTTAAGTTCCCTGTATATTCTGGTTATCAGTCCTTTGTCTGATGTGTAGCTGGCAAATATTTTCTCCCACTCTGTGGGTGTTCTCTTCAGTTTAGAGACCATTTCTTTTGATGAACAGAAGCTTTTTAGTTTTATGAGGTCCCATTTATCTATGCTATCTCTTAGTTGCTGTGCTGCTGGGGTTTCATTGAGAAAGTTCTTACCTATACCTACTAACTCCAGAGTATTTCCTACTCTTTTGCAACTGAGGCCAATAGGAAAAGGGGAACAGGTACTAGAGAAAAGGTTAGATCAAAAAGAATTAACCTAGAAGGTAACACCCACGCACAGGAAATCAATGTGAGTCAATGCCCTGTATAGCTATCCTTATCTCAACCAGCAAAAACCCTTGTTCCTTCCTATTATTGCTTATACTCTCTCTACAACAAAATTAGAAATAAGGGCAAAATAGTTTCTGCAGGGTATTGGGGGGGGGAGAGGGAGGGGGCGGAGTGGGTGGTAAGGGAGGGGGTGGGGGCAGGGGGGAGAAATGAACCAAGCCTTGTATGCACATATGAATAATAATAGAAAAATGAAAAAAAAAACAACAAACAAACAAACAAAAACAAATTAACATGTATATAGTTTAAAAAAAGAAGCCCTGCATAACAAGGTTTATAAGGAAAAGCAATAGTCCCTCATCCTACACATTCCCAGTCTGACTCTAGACTCAACCACTTTGAACTGTTTTGTTTCTAGTTACTGCTCAAAGCCAATGCAACTGCAATTAATTATATTAGGACTCTGATTTTCTTGCACAGGCACCCCCCCCATGTTAATAAATTCCTATTTCATTCATTTTCTTAGACATGTTACTCAGTTGCCAACTTAAAATTCTTTTGTTGGAATCATTTTACTACCCCGACCCCCCACCTGCCTCCCCAGTGCTAGGGAATTATGCATGTTAGACAAGCTCCTTACCACTGAGCTACATCCCAGCCTCCCACTTTACTGTTTCTTGTACTCCTCCATCTTATGTGCTCTTTGATTTCACCTTCATGTTGCTATAATAAATCTACAGGTTACATCAGAAAGAGTTTGAAGTCAAAGGTTACATCAGAAAGAGTTTGAAGTCAAAGTTTCCTGGGTTCTTAAATTTCTAAAACCACCTTCATTTTGCTTTGGATATAGGATTCTAGATTCAAAATAATTTTGCAAGTGAACCTTGAAAATATTGATCTATCTTTAAACATGAGCTAGGGTCAATTAAGTCTAATGTTAAATTCCCTGTTTCCCCCTAGGTTACCTGTGTTTTCCTCTCTGAAGCATTTAGGATATTTCATTTTATATTCCATGTTCTCAAATTCAATGATTTAGCCTAGGTAAAGTGTACAATGGTTACGAATCTAAGTTGGGTCATAATCCTAGCTCATCACTTACTAACTCTGAGTGATCAAGATAACCTTCCTGGGCCCCTAATACCACATACCTCATGGTGTTGTTTTGAGGACTGAGACAACTGATATAAGTGCTTGGCAGACATTTAAGTCCTCAATAAATGTTAGTGATTTCATCTTGCTCAACCTGCAATAAGCTCAGTCTTCTCATCTGAAGATTCATTTTTTCAACTCTGAAGAACTATCCTTTCTTTGAGAATGTCCTCCTGTTTGCTTTTTTTCTCTGCAACTAAAATTATTGGTTATTGAATTGCCTAAAAATTGCCAAAAAAATTTTGGTTATCTTTTATATTTTCTACTTTTCGATGTTCTGGGAAATTCTTTCAACTTCATATTCCAACCTTTTTGCCACTTGAGGAATCATTTTTTAAATTTCTTGCTTTTTTCCCAGGTAGGACAGGACCATGATCCTCCTATTTTACACCTTCCACTGTAGTTGGGATGATAGGTGTACAACATTACACCCAGATCAACTGTTGAGATGGGGTCTCTCAGGCTGACCTGGACCCACCATCCTCTCAATCTCAGCCTCCCATGTAGCTTGGGATGACAGGTGCACCTAGCTATTGGTTTAGATGGGGTCTCACAAACTCTGATCCTAGCCTTTCAAGTAGCTAGAATTACAGATGTGAGCTACTGGCACCCAGCTAGGTCTGTAATTCTAATCATTCTCAGATACAGCTTTGGGGGTGTTGCTGCCAGCTCCTCTCTAGTGTAGACAAGGATGGCGGTGGATCAGAGGATCAGATAAATGTTCAGAATAGATGAGACTATGGTAAAACATTTTGTCTTGCACAAACTGTATCAAATATAAACTGAATTTTCATGTGATTTAGAAAAGTTCTTTTAGACACACCACATGTACACCCTAATCTGAGTATAAAAGCTAAGCATGAGAAGAAAAGATATGATAAGTATCAATCTTAGAGGGAGTCTGAAGTTCATTCTTGTATAATCTCATTTTTATAAATAAAAAGCTTATGTTTGGAAGGAAATATATAAACATGTAGAAAAATGCACTTTGTAGAAGACAAGGAAACAGTAAATCAAGAGTGGCAGAAGTGGGAAGAACAGTGACAAGGTAAAGACAAAACACAGTGTGTATGTGCATAATAATGGTACATGTTAAGACAAGGGGTGGCAAGTGATAGTTCATATACTATTCTATATACCTATCCTGATATTTAGTTACCCTGTAAGGTAATGATAGGTGCACACTTGTAATCCCAGTACTCCAGAGATAGAGGCAGGAGGATCCTGAGTTCAAGATCAGCCTGTGCTATGAGCAAGACCCTGTCTAAAGAAAAAAAAAAAAAAATCAGACCTTTACCATTCTGACTCCAAATGTTAAGTACAGATTTTCAAGTTTCAAAGATTACTGCTAAACCAAGTTTCAAAGGTACACTGAGCATAGGAATATTGCTTTTAAAAAAGGACTAGGGAAATTGGTATATTGACCTCTTCAGTATTTTGCTTTTTTTGGGAGGGTGGAGGAGCAGCACTGGGATTTGTACTCAGGGCTTCACACTTGCTAGGCAAGTGCTCTCCTACTTGCGCCGTGCCTTCAGCCTGACATTTTCTGGTTTTTACACAAAAAATATCATGAAAGATAATTCATTTACATTGCATTTTTTTTCAGAGCTCAACTTTAACTATCAATGGTAAATTATCAATAAAAAATGAAGAATCAGCCAATTTAGATGGAAGTTGTTTTCATAGCATCAAAAGAATTTTAACTGAACTAATTCTATCTGTAGCAAACTATAGGTATATGTGTGTGTGTATATATAAATAAATATATATATAAATCTCACAGTAATCAAAATTTATCTATATATAGGCTTCAGAGATAAGATGGTTTGAAACTTTTATAGCTTCCTCATTTTTTTTTATTGTTATGCTGGGTGGGGGTATATTGTGGGATTTACAAAACTTACAACGTATCAAATATATCATACTTGAATTCACCCCCTCCACCATTCTCTTTTATCTCCACAGCTTCCTCATTTTAAGGGAAAAGTTTAGTGCTGTTGGTATGTTGCTGGCCACAACTATTTTGTGTTCGGAGGCTACTGGTTACTTTGTGGCTCCAATCTTTGACAGGTTTTACTAATGGAAAGTTGATCAAGGACAAGACAGCACTTGTCCAAATTGAAATTTTTGCCTCAAGCATCAAACAAAACAGGTTTTTAGAAGTAAAGTTCAACTTACATCCTGTTTTTAATGTTCCTTAATACCTGGCTTACAGGTACACATTATAAACATCTCAAGCTTTTACTTACAATGATTCTGTACAATTTATTTGTACTCTTTCACTAAATTAAGACTAAACAATTTATCATTTTTAAAAATATCTTGTACTTCAACACCTTGGTAACCTTATAACAAATCATAATAAGTATGCATCTTATTTTACATACGGTATATAAATTGATTTTTTTTGTTGTTGATGTTTTATGACAAGTCATGCTATGTAGCCCAGGCTGGCCTCAAACTTAAGATTCTCCTGCCTCAGCCTCTGAAAGCTGTGATTATGGTCATACACTACCATGCTGCACTACTGAATTGCATTTTTATAAACTTTCTTATTATTTTACATGATTTACAAAATATTTTGTGCTAAATTCTAAATTATCTACAACTAATACATTAATATAGGTTTAAAGTTTGGTATCTGCCTGCCACCAAACAAGCAGTTAATATAAGTAAGAGTTTATTTAAAACAAAACAAACCTATACTAGGGACATTCCCTGATCAGAAAAAATCATACAGTAAAAACCAAGACTGCTAGGGTGTCCTTAAAGAAATGTGTTTTAAAGATGTCACATGTGGGAAGAATGATAATAAAAGATTAAAATCTAACATTTTTAACAAGACCAAAAAAGCTTATCATATAAGAATCATCACACATTAACATATCACAACTAAGCATTTATTACACTGTTTAAAAAGAAAAGCAATTGTGGTGGCATTTCAGAAGCTATATATTTAATGTAATATATGCTCATAAACTCTAGACAGTATTTTAAAATATACAATCTCTCCAAAAGAAAATATTCAACTAAAGATAACTTTTAATGTAAGTAAAATGTCACAAGATTTTAAAATTAAAATCATTGAGTTTTTCACAGCACGATGTATAGAAATTTGCAAGCTTCCCGTACAAAGTAGTATAATCTTTATTCTTGAGCGAGCCTTTCAATAACACGTCTGTAATCTTCTACTAGTTCCTGAAAACTTTCTTCCAGCTGTTCATGTTGCATGTTTATTTCTATCTGATTCATCTGATTTGTCAGTTCTTCTGGTCTGAGACATTTTCTCATTTTAGCAAGATCTCTTTGCTTTTTCTAAGTAACAAGCACAATTATTTATTAGAGCAAGAAAGAAGATACATTTCTTTACATTCCTACAATTTTAAGTCTTCAGTATTAAAAATAAGAGTAGCAGCAACATGCTCACTTATTTTCTTAAAGAACTTAAAGTTAACCATGAATTGCAAACCCTCTGTTAAGAGTTAAGGCTGGGGCATAGCTCAAGTGATAGGGCACCTGCCTAGCAAGCATGAAACCCCACGTTCAAATGCCAGTACCACCCAAAAAAGAAAAAAAGACAAAATGAGCAAGGTGCTGGTGGCTCATGCCTATAATCCTAGCTACTCAGGAGGCAGAGATCAGGAAGATCACAGTTCGAAGTCAGCCAGGGCGAATAGTTCAAGAGACCTTCTCTTGAAAAAACCCAATCACAAAAAGGGCTGGTGGAGTGGTTCAAGATGTAGTCCCTGAGTTCAAACCCTAGTACCACCAAAACAAAAAAAAGGCAAAATGATCACGGTAAATATAGATGTGTGACTAACTTCCTCCAAAGCACAATAAAGTGCCCTAGGTAGGGCTGGGGGGTATAGCTCAGTTGACAGTGTTTGCCTAGCATGTGAGGCCCTGGGTTTGATCCCCAGCACACACAAAAAACAAATGAACAAACAAAACCCAAACCCATCTGGCCAGTGTGAACATGCAAGTACTTCTTTAATAAGTACATTAACTAAAAAGGTGACTGTTACTTTTTGTGACACTGAAGATCAAACCCAGGGCCCCACACATGCTACGCAAGCACTCTGTACTAAGCCATACCCCCTAAACTCTAATTATATGTTTTAAATTTTAATCAGGCATTTTCCTGGCACTATGATCACTTTTAGGTTCTCTCATCAAATGATGTATTTATGAACATACTAACTTGAACATAAAACTGTTGGAAAAGTTTCAGAGAGGAAAATACAAACCTGTCATAATTAATATATATCAATTAGCATTTATTATCGAGGTTTACTAAGTTCCAGCATACATTACTTACATGGGTTTACTCCCATGTAAAACCCTCCCCACTTTAATAAGAACATCAGTATGCTGAGAAGTTTGCAATAGGGAGCTGGTAACAATTTTGATAAAGGATACTGTATCAGAACAATAATGTATAGGTGATGTTCAGGACATATGGGACTGGAGGTCTAAATTAGCAGCTACTGCAGCAGGTCAAATCAGAGATAATGAAGGGTTAAATCAAAGTAACAGAAGGAGATATGGAGGGGACAGGGCAGATTTAGGGAAGAAAGCATTGGATGATGAGGGGATGAGTGAGGAATACATATATGATTCCTAGTTAGGTGGCAACATTGCAGTATACAAAACTTTCATAGATTTGGAGAAACTTCTAGGTTGTCATATTAATTAGAGCATATAGTACAGACTTCACATTATTCAGAGATCAGAAATCACACATATTACTTCACAGAATCCTAACAACTCTGTAAGACAGGTATTGGAATGGAGGAAAGAAAAAAACAAGGGTGGGGAGGTAAAGGAGTTAAATAACTTGCCCAAACTCAATTCATAACCTTATAGTGTAGTTGGAAGTCTGAATTCTTAGTCTCTGTGTCAAACTGCCTTTGAAAAGACAAGCAACAATGACCCTAATCCTTAAACTCATCCTAAAAAATAAATGGGGGCCTTTTAAAACTTTTGTAATAGTAGGCAAATGTGCCGTATTTGTCATTTCAATTAAGCTAAATTTAACTAGGTGGGGTGGTATATGCCTACAATGCCAGCACTCAGGAGGCTGATGCAGGAGGACTGCAGGTTCAAGGCCAGCATGAGCTACATAGTAAGACCCTATCTCACCCCTTTAACCTGCTCTCCCCCTCCAAATTAAGCTATAATTGTAATCACATGTGCATTTCTAAGACAAGATACAATAAAATACTGGAGATAAAACTTTAATGAAGTAAGCTATCTTACACTACAAAATAATTTAAATTTATCTTGGGTCTAAATTGCATTTGTGTCAAGTGCCAGTGGCTCATTGTTCAAGGCCAGCCAGGTCAAAAAGTTTTCGAGACCCTATTTCAACAGACAAGGAAAAACAAAAAAAAAGCTTGCTGTCATGGCACACACCTGCCATCCCAGCTACTTCAGGAGGCAGAAATAGGAGGGTCACAGTCCAGGCCCACCAGGGCATAAAGCAAGACTCTGTCTCAAAAATAACCAGAGCAAAAATCGCTGGAGATGTTGCTCAAGCAGTAGTGAGCCTGCCTAGCAAGCAGGAAACCCAATACCACGAAATAAATTGCATTTGTTTTAGTAACCTTTAATATTTCTTCTCTGGGGGAGGTCCTAGGGTTTCAAGAGGGCCTCACACTTGCTAGGTAGGTGCTCTACCGTTGAGCCACCCTCCAGTCTAACATTTAATATTTCTTAAACTACAGATATTTCACTTGGGGAAATATGATGTTTTACAAGTTAAGTTTTAAAGAATCTGTAAAAAAAGCGCTTCCAAGGCTATTTGTAGGCAGAAGAGAAAAGTGCAAAAAAGAATTTATATGACAAATAGGACACAAAAGTTGAAATAAATCAAATAATGATTTGTTGGAGAAGAGTTCTAGATGTATCCAAATGAAAGGAAAAAACTCATACCATTGTAGGCTATATTTGTGATTAATTTTAAGTGAATAACAAAACATTTATAGCTTATGTTAGAAAATTATGAGCGAGGCTGGATGCCAATGGCTCACACCTATAATCCTAGCTACTCAGGAGGCAGAGATCAGGAGGATTGCGTTTTGAAGCCAGCCAGACCAAATAGCTCGAGAGACCCTATCTTGAAAAAACCCTTCACAAAAAAGGGCTAGTGGAGTGGCTCACGGTGTAGGCCCTGAGTTCAAGCCCCAGTGCCACAGAAAAAGAAAATTATGAGTGAGGATTTCTATAATCAATGAGAAGAATATTTTTACTTTTTGTAAAAGTTAATTTAGCAAAAGATTCATACACTTCCATATACTGCCAGTTGCTAGCTTTTCTTCTGCTATAAATAGTGATAAGAATATAATACTTAAGAGTCTTCAAAGTCTTACCTTATATGGGCTAATTAGTCTCTTTTTAATATCCAGTCTATAGCTTCTGTATTGTTCAGCATCACTCATGTCAGTTACTAGCAGTCGAAGAATTTCATAGACCCGTCTAGCATGTTGCTAAAAAATAAAAACAAAAGTATGAAAGTTTTCACATTAAAAAATACTGACACTTTTCCAAAAGAATACAGGATATATTTATTAAGTATCTGTAATGGGCAAGGAATTGTGCCAAATACCAGAGGAAAAACAATAAAAGGTAAAATCTGCTATAAAGGAGTGGGGAACCCAAATGATTAAGGTATAGTTAATTTAATGATAGAAATATGCATAGGATATTATGCTAGCATAGCTTTGGAGTGTGGGAAATGGTGGTGGAGGATCCTTAAGGGAATAAAAAATAAAACCTGAGCTGATTTTTTTTTTTTTTCTTTTTGCAGTACTGGGGATGGAACCCAAGGCCTCAAACACTAGACAAGCATTCTGCCAAGGAGCTACACCTCCAGCCCTGAACTGAATCTTAAAGGAACAGTATCCTCCTAGACAGGGGAGGGCACACTGTGTGCACACATACATGCAGTACAGAGCACTGTCACACTTAAGCACAAAATAAGAAGGAATAGGAGTGCAGTGGAGATGGAGACTTATATACAGGGTTAAAGACCTGGACCTTAACCTAGTGGGAACCAGACTTTTAAATAGGAATGTAAGTGATGTGTACAAATTAGAGTTTTAAAAGTAAATCATTCTTTTAGCTGCATACAAATGGTAGCAAAAATAAGGGCAGAGAAAGCACTTAAGAAGGTAAGCTATTAAATCAGGCAGAAAAACCCTATGAGGGCATGAACTGGGACAGCAAGGGGACAAGGACTCTAGACATGTAATAATTGACTGGAAGGGCAGTATCAAATGACAGTGAATTTTTGCAGCACAGAGGAGATTTAGGAGGCAGCAGAACATACAATTCTAGTCTAAGGGTAAGGATTTAAGCGATATCAGTATACAGGTAGCAGTAAATACAATGAAGTTGGTTTAGCTCACCAGAGGAAAACATGCATTGT